TACTAACAGGGCATGGTGGAGCAGCAGATGAAATTGCTGCCCCTATAGAATACCACAAAAGCCCAAAGATGGTATTGGACATGGTGAACATAGGCCACCATTAAATAAACCAGCAGCCAATCCTAACCACTGACAGAAGGAATTCTGAAAAGACTTATGAACCCTAAAGGATCAATGGCATTTTCTCACAGAAGATAGTTGTGGGGTCAGTGTGAAACACTACCCCTAGTAACTCACCACCAGATGTGGAAATTTGCATAATTAAATCTACAAAGTAGCCTTGTAATCTGACTGGCAATCAGCACTGCCTTGTACTCAGGCAGGACAATGTAAAATAAACTAATGGGTGCAGTGATGTGGGTAACTGGGCATCCTGTATAATATCAGCTACTGGAAAATTGCACCGTTCCTTTAGATCCTAGGTAAGAGAATAACATCTTTCTGCAGACACATTGCTTTCTGATCACACAGCGACTTGATTCCAGAGCTCATACTATTAGTTAGGATTGCAGGCAAACCAGGAAGAGGAAGAAAAAGAGCCAGCTACCTCACAAACTCTGTCACAATTGCAAAAGATGGAAGGTAGTGGTCAACAACTTCCCTATCAGACTTGTCACTTGAAGAAGATGACTAACAAAACTATATTCCTAATTCCTTTAGTACGCAGAACCTGCCAACACCTTTAAAGTATGTTTTTACTATATAAAGTGATTCTGTATGAACAGCATCCAGAGGAACCATGTTTATTGTGGTTTGTGGATTCAATATATAATAGATTCAATTTGTAAAGAGAAATACACATTTTATTTCCTAACTGCCAGCTCAGCAAACTGGACTCTGCGAATCAAGCTGCTCAGAAATCATCACCAGTAATAAAGTTTTTGCAGATCCAGTTATGCCCTCAGATATATCCGTGTGACTCTATAGTCTTCACATGATTATCTCAATTAAATTTATTTTCCTTCACTTTGTTTTATCTTATGCCATCATATTGCTTTTTAAATTGGTTGTAGGTGTGTATGTGCCTGTTGGAACAACGGCTACTTTATACAAGACTGTTCATTAAACACAAGAAAAGTATTCTAAAAGCTCAGTCCTGCAAGGTGCTGAACATTCTGGCCCTGATCCTGCAATTATGGAAGCAATCATGTGCTTAACTTTAAGTGTGTGCATAGTCTCACTGAAGTCAATGGATCTATTCACATGATTCAAAATAGACATCTGCTTAGGTGCTTTGCTGGATTGGGGCCAGAGTCTCCCAAACTCAAGCCCACCCAACCCGCTACGCTTAATCTCAAGTGGCTAGCCCAAGTAGTCGCAAGAGACTCAATGTCCACACTACTATTTTAAGTGTTCTAGTAGCCCTATTAGCTTGAGTCTGGCTACCCAGGCTGGGAGGCTTGCTCCCAGCTGCAGTGTAGACATACCCACAGAGTCAAACCCTTGCTTATAGGTTTACTTCTTCTTCAGTGGTCATTCTGTTGTGCAAGACAGCTAGTCACTGTGAACTCTTTAAATCTTAATCCCAGCTGGTTTTGGATCAGTGAAAAAATAAATTTACAGTGTTGCAAAATTGTTAACTGTGTGTACCCACATGATGGAGATCATGATGAGTTGGTTTTGAGTCACCATGGCCAGGATCCAAATCTCATTGGATTCAATGGGAAACCTTCCGTTAACTTCAATGAGAGGTGGATCAGGCCCCAAATATTGGTTATACATAGTGATCCTTTACATTCATTTGTTGTATTAGGCCTTGTTGTATTAGTTATAGCTAGTTTTGTAGTATTTGTTTTACTAGTGCCCAGCTCAGAATGCATTACTTGCTCTATTAAATTGTAACACAACCAGTATAGATTTTACTGTCATAATTATCCAGTAAGTCAGTGGGAAATATTCTACTACAGAATGGTATCTTTTAAACACCCCTAAAACGATCCCTGAGGTACCCACATGAGCACAATATAGATCAGGGGTTCTCAAACTGGGGGTCGGGACCCCTCAGGGGATCACAAGGTTATTACCTGGAGGGTCGTGAACTGTCAGCCTCCACCCCAAACCCCGCTTTGCCTCCAGCATTTATAATGGTGTTAAATATATTTAAAATATTTTTAATTTATTAGGGGGGTTGCACTCAGAGGCTTGCTATGTGAAAGGGGTCACCAGTACAAAAGTTTGAGAACCACTGATATAGATAGTAAAAAGAGAAGGAGTATTCGTGGCACCTTAGAGACTAACAAATTTATCTGAGCATAAGCTTGCATGAACTACAGCTCACTTCATCGGATGCATGTAGTGGAAAATACAATGAGGAGATTTTATATACAGAGAGAAGATGAAACAATGGGTGTTACCATACACACTGTAACGAGAGTGATCAGGTAAGGTGAGCTATTACCAGCAGGAGAGAAAAAAAACCTTTTGTAGTGATAATCAAGATGGGCCATTTCCAGCAGTTGACAAGAACATGTGAGGAACATTAGGGGGCGGGAATAAACATGGGGAAATAGTTTTACTTTGTGTAATGACCCATCCACTCCCAGTCTTTATTCAAGCCTAATTTAATGATGTCCAGTTTGCAAATTAATTCCAATTCAGCAGTCTCTGCTTGGAGTCTGTTTTTGAAGTTTTTTTGTTGAAGAAGTGCAACTTTTAGGTGTGTAATCGAGTGACCAGAGAGATTGAAGTGTTCTCTGACTGGTTTTTGAATGTTATAATTCTTTGTCTGATTTGTGTCCATTTATTCTTTTATGTAGAGACTTTGCCCTCACCCATAACTATTTCACATTTGGGGACAATGTATACCTTCAAATCAGTGGCACTGCTATGGGTACCCACATGGCCCCACAGTGTGCCAACATTTTTATGGCTGACTTAGAACAACGCTTCCTCAGCTCTCATCCCCTAATGCCCCTACTCTACTTGCGCTACATTGATGACATCTTCATCATCTGGACCCATGGAAAAGAAGCCCTTGAGGAATTCCACCATGATGATTTCAACAATTTCCATCCCACCATCAACCTCAGCCTGGACCAGTCCACACAAGAGATCCACTTCCTGGACGCTACGGTGCTAATAAGCGATGGTCACATAAACACCACCCTATACCAGAAACCTACTGATCGCTATACTTACCTACATGCCTCCAGCTTCCATCCAGAACACATCACATGATCCATTGTCTACAGCCAAGCTCTACAATACAACCGCATTTGCTCCAACCCCTCAGACAGAGACAGAGACCTACAAGATCTCTATCAAGCATTCTTACAACTACAATACCCACCTGCTGAAGTGAAGAAACAGATTGACAGAGCCAGAAGAGTACCCAGAAGTTACCTACTACAGGACAGGAAAGAAAATAACAGAACGCCACTAGCCATCACCTTCAGCCCCCAACTAAAACCTCTCCAGCACATCATTAAGGATCTACAACCTATCCTGAAGGACAACCCATCACTCTCACAGATCTTGGGAGACAGAACAGTCCTTGCTTACAGACAGCCCCCCAACCTGAAGCAAATACTCACCAGCAACCACACACCACAAAACAAAAACACTAACCCAGGAACCAATCCTTGCAACAAAGCCTGTTGCCAACAGTGTCCACATATCTATTCAGGGGACACCATCATAGGGCCTAATCACATCAGCCACACTATCAGAGGCTCGTTCACCTGCACATCTACTAATGTCATATATGCCATCATGTGCCTGCAATGCCCCTCTGCCATGTACATTGGCCAAATCAGACAGTCTCTACGTAAAAGAATAATGGACACAAATCAGATGTCAAGAATTATAACATTCGAAAACCAGTCGGAGAACATTTCAACCTCCCTGGACACTCGATTACAGACCTAAAAGTCGCAATTTTTCAACAAAAAAACTTCAGAAACAGACTCCAAGCAGAGACTGCTGAATTGGAATTAATTTGCAAACTGGACACCATTAAATTAGGCTTGAATAAAGACTGGAAGTGGATGGGTCATTACACAAAGTAAAACTATTTCCCTATGTTTATTCCCCCTTCCCCCAACTGTTCCTCACACATTCTTGTCAACTGCTGGAAATGGCCCACCTTGATTATCACTACAAAAGGTTTTCTTTCTTTCCTGCTGGCAATAGCTCACCTTACCTGATCACTCTCTTTACAGTGTGCATGGTAACACCCATTGTTTCATGTTCTCTGTGTATATAAAATCTCCCCACTATATTTTCCACTGTATGCATCCGATGAAGTGAGCTGTAGCTCACGAAAGCTTATGCTCAAATAAATATGTTAGTCTCTAAGGTGCCACAAGTCCTCCTGTTCTTTTTGCAGACACAGACTAACAGGGCTGCTACTCTGAAACCTGATACTGATAGTGTGACCTTTCCTCTCCTCCCATTTTTCCCTAGGCCCAGTAGTGTTTGCACTCATCTTTCATTAAGGTGGCTCTCATCAATATGAAAGGGACTTGCAGACCTCAGCTATAGATTAATGCAAGCAAAAGCGATTGCACATCCTATTTTGCACGAAGAAGGTGTGATAGGATAGTGATCATTATGACCCTCCTACGTCTCAACTCGGTTTAAGGGCCTGTGTGCTTTTCTGTGTCCTTCCTACTTCTCCCACGGGTTGCTGTTGCTTGTGACAATCCCGCTCCCGGCTCTCAGCCATTAAGTACCAAGCACCGCCACACCCCGAGGAGCTAGAGTGATTTCAGTCTCTTCCGATTGTCACTGAAAAGTCTCAGCCGCAAGTTGGACGCGCGCGCCGCAGAGGGGCTCCAGGGGCGGGTGGGCTTCAGCACCCCAGGCCGCGGACAGCTCCGTGCGCCGCGGGGTGGGGGAGGAAGCGCAGCTCCCGCAGGGCGGCTCGCTGCCGAGGGAAGAGCGGAAGAACTCCCGCCCCTCCTCCGGGGGTCTCACGGAGTCCGAGGCGCAGCGGGCCCCCCTCCTCTCCCGGCGACGGCTCTCCTAAAGGGGCTCTGTGATTTTAAATGCGCCGAGACCCGCCCCTTCGGGGTGGGGCGTGGGCGGGCCCAGGCCGTCCGGGGCGGCCATATAACCCCACCTCTTGGGTGAGGACTGCGGCTATAATTGGCTGGATGTGGTATTTGGAGATGCTAAGCTGGCTCCTTCCCCCCATGTCCCTGCACACACACAGGGGTGGGTTGCGCGGGCGGCAGAGGGAGGCAGGGCTGGGTGGCGGCGGCGGCGGCGGGTCTGCCACTCCCTGCCTCCCTGCCTCGCTGTCCGAGCCGCTCGCGCTGCTGGGCTGCTGCCTGCGGCCGGGCGAGGCGGCGGAGCCGGGCCGCGGGGAGCGGGGGCTGCTGCTGCTGTCGGCGGCGGGGATGATGGCGGAGGGCGGCGGCGGGGGGCCGCGGCGGAAGGCGCTGTCCCTGCTGGAGGCGGCCCGCTCCCGCTACGAGAGCCTGCAGATCTCGGACGACGTGTTCGGGGAGTCGGGCCAGGACAGCAGCGGGAACCCCTTCTACAGCACCTCGGCCGACTCCCGCTCCGCCTCCTCCCAGGACGAGGACGAGGACGAGGAGCAGCTCGCGGCTGCGGAGGGGCCCGGCCCCCGGGGCAGGGGGCGCCGTGTCCCCAGGGCGCTGGCGGCGGAGCGGCAGCAGGTTCCCGGCAGCGGCTGCAGCCCCGGCCCCACGGAGGAGGAGGAGGAGGAGGAGGGGGGCTGGATCCCGACCCTGCGCGACGCCCCACCCCCAGACTTCAAGGATAGCTTCGGTAACAGGCGGGCTGGGGAGCGGGGTGGCGCCTGCACTGCAGGGGGGAGCCCCCTCCCTCGCGGGCTGGGGGCGGGGGGGGCCTGGGCTGCTGCCCGCGGGGGGGCGGGGAGCAACGGGACGGGGCTTTGCGGATAATGCTCAAGAGGCGGCCCCGGCCGGCAGGCAGGCGAGAGGAGCAGGGCAAGTCCCTTCTCCGGCGGGAAGGTTAATGTGGGGGCTGCAGCCAGGGCCTGAGGCTGAGGGGCAGGAGGGCGGGTGCAGCCGGGGAGGCACTTTTGCCGTTTGGTCAGAGGCCGGGAAGGGAGCAGCTCTCATTCCCGGGCGGCTGCTTGCAAGAGAGCCCGGATCGCTCAGCTCCGCCGAGCCCTGTGCAGGTCAAAGGGCGCGGAGCTCCCTCCCCGCTGCGGTCTGTGCCTCGGCCCCAGATGTCCCGAGCACCGACTGTAACTAGCGGGCGGGGTAACGGGCGTAGCAGCGTGCGGGAGAGCCAGGCTGACTTGCTCATCCCTGGCCTGGCGCCCGAAACCCTCTGGAAGGGGAGGCTGGATCTGCAGGGTTAGTTTGAGAGAGTGCGGTCGGTCTGCCGACTCCTGCCACCTGACTGCGCTTTGGCCTCGTTAAACAAATCGCTCCTCGGGCCGATGGTACCGTGCGTGTTAGTCACGAGGGAGAGAACAACCCCTTCTCGGGAAGAGTGAGAGCTCGCTGCATCTGCACAAGAGCAGCAGCAGGGTAGGGCTGGCTGTTCAATCATTGCCTTTCAGGCCGGAGTATAGAAATATCTCTCCTGTGCACGGGCTGAAAGCTTTATTTGATTTAATTAGGATAAAGGATAGCTCCCCTCTTTCAGGGCACTGGCTTTTTTCATACCTTAGTCCTTATAAGTCATGGCTTGTATTTATGCAGTAACTGGATAATTGCCTGGACTTAGATGAAATGGTGTCTAACAAGACCTATGGAAGGCGGGATGTGACTGATTATGAACACTTTGTCCTTTTTCTTCTCCCCTGATAATTTTGTGATCTTCAGAACAACATGGCAGGTTATACAATGTAGCCTTGGGAATCTCTGCTGCTTTGCTGGAGTTAGAAGCTGGAGATCCTGCTCAGCCTGTGTGTCCTAACATGTACATGGCCTATGATATAGGAATATGGGAGTATTATTATACCCACTTTACAGCTGGAAGAAGCTGTGGACCAGAATGGTTAAGTGACTTGCTCAAGATCACACAAGGAGTCGTGGCAGCCCTGGAAATAGAACTCTGCTCCTCAACCCTTGTCCTTACCACAAAGCCATCTTCAGTCCTACACATTGCCACACAGGTCTTTGATAAAGTAAACATTGAGAGCTCACTGCAGTGATCTGATGTATTATGGCAATGCATGGTATGGAGATTTTAATAGAATGATCTGTGTGAGATGTCATAGTGGTTTATAGGGAGTCATTCCAACATCAGTCCACAGCGTTAATGATACGTTGTGTATGTAGCAAAAAAAAAGTCATGTAAAGAAAACTTGCAGAATGTAAAAAATACAGCAATCAAATAGAATACTATATATTATAGGTTTATATGTGAGCTCTGAGATGTTACCATACTCTGCTACTGGTATCTTGTCCAATTTGATATTTGCTAGCCCAACCCTCACTGGTTTCTATTCTTGATTGTCAGGCTTAATTCATTAATGTTGATGAGAAGTATCAGAGAAAAGTCTATATTTAACAAATAAATGAAGATTCAAGAAAAAAAAAGTGCACTTCAACAAACCTCCCTGTACCACACTGTGGATTAAAACAGAGCTAGAGGAAGTATATATTTTTTAAGCTAATGTAAAAAGAACCCCCAAGCAAAGTTAAGCTCCAAATAATATATTACAGTAACATTATTTTTGACTGACGTGTTAACTAACAAAAGCAAGAAAGGTTGCTGCTCCCCTGTCTAGGCACTGTAAAATATTAAACATCACGTACTAATATAAAACTCTTGTGGGTCTTTAAAGAGAACTCCAGTGGATATCTTGGATTCCTCTAATTCTCAAGCATATCTGAGGACACAGTTTGGACCATACTTTTCATGGAGTTAAGTAAGGATGAAATAACTTAACATTTAAATTCTTTGCCTTTGCTAGTGTATACATTTGTGTAACTTTAAAGCAGTGATATGCATTTAATATAGAGATGGGATTGACATTTTCATTGCTTCTTTGAAAAAAGAAAATTAAGTTGATGACCTATCAGCTCATGAGTTCAGATTTCCTTAGAAATGAAGGCATTTGATTTGTGGGAGACAGAAGTGAACACAGAAGTCTTTGGAGCGAGGAGAGTTGGTAATACAGAGACTGCTTCCACCTACTAGTAGATTTGAGAGAGATTTCTGCTGCTTCTTGTTCTGTTTGTGGCATGAACTGCATACAGTATCTATAATAGTGATTAGCTTTGGCAAAAACTTGGTTGAATGAGAACATAAGAATGGCCATACTGGGCCAGACCAATGGTCCATCTAGCCCAGTATCCTGTCTTCCAACAGCGACTGGTGCCAGATACCTCAGGCAGTGAACAGAACAGGGCAAATAATAAAGTGATCCATCCCCTGTCATCCAGTCCCAGCTTCTGGCAGTCAGAGGTTTAGGGGCGCCTAGAGCATGGGATTGCATCCCTGACCATCTTGGCTAATAGCCATTGGTGGACCTATCCTCCTGTGAACTTTGTCTAATTCTTTTTTGAACCCAGTTATACTTTTGACCTTCACAACATCCCCTGGTAATGAGTTCCACGGGTTGACTGTATAGTGTGAAGAAATACTTTCCTTATGTTTGTTTAAACCTGCTGCCTGTTAATTTCATTGGGTGGCCCCTGAGTCTCATGTTATGTAAAAGGGTAAATAGCACGTCCCTATCACTTTCTCCATGCCATTCATGGTTTTATATAACTCTGTCATAACCTCCCCCATCCAGTCATTTCTTTTCCAAGCTGAACAGTCCCAGTCTTTTTAACCTCTCTTCATACAGAAGCTGTTCCATACTCCTAATCATTTTTGTTGCCCTTCTCTGTATTTTTTCCAATTCTAAAATATCTTTTTTGAGATGGGGTGACAAGAATTGCATGCAATGGGTGTACCATGGATTTATATAGTGGCATTATGATATTTATTGTCTTACTATCTATCCCTTTCCTAATGGTTCCTAGCATTGTTAGCTTTTTTGACTGCTGCTGCACATTGAGTGGATGTTTTCAGAGAACTATCCACAATGACCCCAAGATCTTTCTTGAGTGGTAACAGCTAATTTAGACCCCATCATTTTGTATGTATAGTTGGAATTATGTTTTCCAATGTGCATTACTTTGCATTTATCAACAGTGAATTTCATCTGCCACTTTCTTGCCCAGTCACCCAGTTTTGTGAGAACCCTTTGCAACTCGTCACAGTCAGCTTTGGACTTAACTATCTTGAGTAATTTTGTATCATCTGCAGACTTTGCCAACTCCCTATTTATCTCTTTTTCCAGATCATTTATGAATATGTTGAACAGCACTGGTCCCAGTACAGATCCTTGTGGGACCTTGCTATTTACCTCTCTACCCTGTAAACTGATCTTTTATTCCTACCCTTTGTTTCATATCTTTTAGCAGGGACTGATCCATGAGAGTGCCCATGACTGCCTATGTTGTTTAGGAGCCTTTTGGTGAGGGACCTTGTCAAAAGCTGTCTGAAAGTCCAAGTACACTATATCTACTGGATCAGCACTTCTCAATCAAGGGTCTGCAGCCCCATGGGGGTCTGCAGGCCCTTTCAGGGGGGCCACAGGACCCCACAGCTGAAACCCAGTGCCCCCCATGGGCTGAAGCCAGGAGCTGCGGGGCTGAAGCCCCTATTCCCGATGCCCCCTGAAGCCCTGATCTCCGGCGCCCCATATGGGACTGAAGCTGGGAGCAGTAGGGCTGAATCCTGGGGTCCCGAGCCCTGGTGCTCCCCATGGGGCAGAAACCCTGAGCCCATGGGCAGAGTTTAACCTACATTTATGGTGGGGAAAAACATTTTCTAAAAGCCAGATTATAGGAAACATTCATTTATCACAAAGTGGTTGTCAGATGTGACTTGACCCCTGTATGCAGAAGATCACTTTTGCTGGGTAGATGAGAATTAGGACTGCATGCAGCAGCGTAGCACACTCTAAATATGCATGTCAGGAAGCAAAGGATAGCTTCTGATGAATGCAGTTAACTGGCCACATCTTTTGGGAGCTAGCCAGTTAAATATTAGTTGCATCTGCAGCTCATTGCTGAAAAAACACATTGGTGAGCATTAGAGATTTTACTTTAAAGAATTCTCATTTCACTTTTTTTCTGCTAGTTCACCAAAGGCCAACAAAAAAAACAACAATGAAAAGAATTGTTTATAGGTGTGCATTAAAGCAGCTTTACTCCATTATAAATATATTACATTGGGCCGTGTCCACTTCTCAGATTAAATTATTCAGAGCAGCAGTATAAACACTGACTAAACACATCTGAGACATGCAATCTGTCTCCTTGATTATGCGATCATTAAAGTTAGAGTTTCCAGTCTTAACTTTACTGAAGAATGTTTACTGAAGTTGGGTCAGCTGAGGAGGGGGAGAGATGCATTTGTGTAGATGGTTAATGAACCATCTTCCAGTTGGATGGATGACGGTTACAAGATGGTAAGCTTTTCAAGGTGGGGGCTGTCTCTTACTATGTTTGCATAGTGCCTCATACAATAGGGCTTCAGTCTTCATTGGTTCCTCTTGGCACTGCTGTTATTCAAATAAAGAAAATGAATTTGGCTCCTTTCAAATAAGGAAAATGTATTTAGCTCCCTCCATCTAGTCTCTAGTGAACCTCATAATACAACATATTTAGTTAGTATGGAGTCATTCATACATCCTGTATTCCAATGTATTCCAATCCAAAGCATAATCCAATTTTACAGGAGTTAAATAGTAACTGAAGGGGCGATGGTGGGACATAGCTGAAGGAGAA